GCCTCCCAAAGTGCTGGGATTACATGGGGCCATTTTTTAAAGCTGATCTTTGATGAATGTATGAAACTATTTTCCAGTGATTCTGCTTTATTTTTGGGAAGTGGGAACAAAGACCTGGCATGCTACCATGGGTATAACTGTACATTTCAATGCTGTTTGAAGAAATAGACATCTAAATGAAGAAATACTTTTAATTGTTGACTGTAAAAGGTACCAAATTATGCTGATGATTCTGTTACCTAAAATAACTAGACCATTTTTCTTTAGAGCAAAACAGACAACCCTATAAATCTCTGATGTGTATTGTTTTAAGTTTTCCTGAAAGGTAAAACTTATTTTTTTATTTTTATTTTTTACTGTCTCAGCTTTTCTATTACATTTGTGTGTGTAGGGGGAGCTGGGTACAAAGAGAAAGAGAAAGCATCGTGAAGATGACTCAGAACAAAATGGGTGGCGTTTGTAAGAGACAGAGAATTGCCTTTGAAGATTGTTGGCGTGTTTATTTATGCTAACTCCCACTATCTGAAAAAATAGCTGTAGCAGGCTCATTACTCTGTGGAAAAATAAAATTCATTTGACAGGATTAATTCATTTGAAACCCATGTGGTTTTCAAGGTTCTTTAAAATAACGTGAGATATTACAGCAATCCTTACTTTAACATTTTGATCTAAGTGAGGCATGAAACAATTTAAATGCACCCAGAATATAAACTTTTAAGTGTTACCAGAAAGTGTCTTTTCTTGACAATACTGGAACATTTTGGATGTTATGAACAGGTGCATAATTATAGATTTGTGTTTTCAAACACTATTTGTATAGAGTAGAATCCATGTGAGAACTGATTTTAAGAAATGAGCGGTGCTTCGTAATTTCCAGAAATGGAGAGGAATTACAGTATGCAAAACTAATGACGATAGCTCGCTTACTTTAAGTTCTTTTTATGTTCTTGACACTGGGATAAGCTCTCTACATATATTATTTCATTTGTGCATAACAACCCTATGAGAAGGGTATAATTATTATCCAATACTTTTTGGGGAAGGAAACTAAAGATTATAAAAGTTAACAGTAGGTAATGAAGCCAGTATTTTTGCTTAGGTGGTCTGTGTATAGAATTCATGCTCTTAACTATTAGGATATGCTGATTCTAAAGCAATTAATGAATATTGGTCTGAAATCAGTCTAATGGCATGCTGGAAACAGCTCTTACAAACTGCCAGGAGTTGATTGTTAGATATTTTGGATTTTTGTAAGCCAATTTGTAAACTTTGATACTTTGAAATCAGCAATGATTGGAGTATTTACACCACAGAAATGGTCAAATGCGACAAATCAAGGCACTGTTTTTCAAGTCAGTTCACCAGCACACCATTTAATAACATAGTGCCCTTTCAGCAGTGCCGGAGTATAAACCCTCACATTTTAAATGGATATAAATGAAATAAATGCTTACATTAACAGTTTTATTTTACATTAGCATTTGTCTTGATCTCAAGAGGAGAGACTATAATTAGTACGGTTAGAACTTTAAAAATTAAATTTGAGAGCATGTATTCCTAAATTCCATAGTAGAAGAGAGTCCTTTTCCTCGCCTTTGAACTTTTGTGTGAGGATTTTAGAAAGAAAGCCCTTGTCTGACCAACTGCAGAGTGTAAAAGCAGTTAGCTGTGCCGGATTTGAGAGGACTCTTTGCTGGCTGAGATTGTCTGAGCAGGAATGGAAAGTGATTGGGTTGGGTAAACAGGAGCCCGTGATAGGAGGATGGCAGAAGCCAGAAGAGGAAATTTTATTAAAACAACAACAACAACAACAACAACAACAAACAGAACAAAACTTGGGAACCAGTGGGGTTTGTGGGGTCTGAGTAAGCTTTGTGGCCTTATTGTGGGCATCATTTATCCACAAAATAATTTTAACTTTAATTTTAGAACTCTAGTACTTAATTTTTCCTTGTAACCATAAAGCAGCATTTTACGCTGTGATGGAAAATCATTCCAGTGGCAGTGGTTCCATTTAATAAAAATTTCAAACAGTGTCAATTGTAATTTTGATGCATTGCATCAGCTTGTCAAATTGATCCTCCCAATATTCTTTTTATGAAGAAGGCATAACTTGCTTACACGTTATGTTTAATATATTTGTAATGTTCTTCTGATATAAAGATCCTCCATTGAACATTTGCTTGTACCTGGTTGGACTGCATACTGGATCCCGCTTATCTAAGCAAAAGCATACATGCTTAATAACTTAAACGGTTCTCTCTAAGCCACCAACCAGTTCTTTTTCATTATTTATTATTATTTATTGGAAAACATTTCCATAAATTGAACCACAAGAAAGAAATGCACTCACAATTTAACCACCCCAACTGAATTTTCTTCCCTTTTTTCGATTTAATTTTTATTTTTTGAGAACAGGGTCTTGCTCTGTCACTCAGGTTTGCGTACAGTGGTGTGACCATGGCTTTCGGCAACCTCAAACTCCTGGGCCCAAGCATATTCCTCTTGCCTCAGCCCTCTGAATAGTTGGGACTACAGCCATGTGCCTTTTTTTTTCTATTTAAAAAAAATTAAGTCCTGGCACGGTGACTCATGCCTGTAATCCCAGCACCTTGGGAGGCCAAGGCGGGAGGATCATGAGGTCAAGAGATGGAGATCATCCTGGCTAACATGGTGAAACCCCGTCTCTACTGAAAATACAAAAATTAGCTGGGCGTGGTGGTGGGTGCCTGTAGTCCCAGCTACTTGGGAGACTGAGGCAGAAGAATTGCTTGACTCCAGGAGGTGGAGGTTGCAGTGAGCCGAGATCGCGCTATTGCACTCCAGCCTGGGCAACATAGTGAGACTCCATCTCAAAAAAAAATTTTTTTTATATAGATTAATATATGGGAAATACCAGTATAGCTCTCCTACATGCATATATTGTGTAGTGGTAAGTCTGGGCTTTTAGTGCACCCATCACCTGAATTGTGAACAGCCAGTCAATTCTTATCCTCGTTCCTTCACCTCCTGAGTTGAGATTTTGAGAATTTGTGCTGTATTGATTGAGATAGAAGTTTAAGAGAAAGAGAAAAGAAAACGAATGGAGGATGAAAAAATAAAACAATATACATACACACAGAATAGGACCAAGTTAGAGGCAAAATATAGCATCCAAGTTGAATAAAACAAAGTAATCGCTGTCTTGTGGATAAGGAGAATCCTGTGTCTGTGAATATTTTATACTAATTCAGTTTTATATTTGCTTATCTTTAATATTAATTTGAGAAAAGTGCTATTTTTCTGTTCTTTAATTTTTTTTTATCAGCAGACTGAATGGTAAGTTAGAAATGAATGCATAAGAATCAGAGAAATGTGGATTTTAATCCTTAGCGTGAGAATTTTATAACTCTGTGACTTTGGAAAAGGAACCTAACTTCTCTGTTTATCCTGTTCACACAAGACATAGTAACAATCCTTACTATAGACGACCGCAGGAGTTATAGATAAAGCTCCCGGGGCAATGCATATCAGAGTAAGCTGTGTCTCCTTACATTTTCAGAGCTGTTATTGTTGCTCAGCAAATGGCAGCTGTTGCTATCTGTGGTTTTTTTTGTTGTTGTTGTTGTTTTTTGAGACGGAGTCTCGCTCCGTCGCCAGGTCTGGGGGGCAGTGGTGTGATCTCGGCTCACTGCAACCTCTGTCTCCTGGGTTCAAACTGTTCTCCAGCCTCAGCCTCCTGAGTAGCTGGGATTACAGGCTTGTGCCACTGCGTCCAGCTAATTTTTGTATTTTTAGTAGAGATGGAGTTTCACCATGTTGGTCAGGCTGATCTCGAACTCCTGACGTCAGGTGATCCATGCACCTTGGCCTCCCAGAGTGCTGGGATTACAGGCATGAGCCACCGCGCCTGGCCGCTATCTGTGGTTTTTAAAATGTATTAAACGTGAGGAGTAATGACAGTGTTTCTTGATGACTGGGGGACTTGCAGTAGAAAGTTGACAAATACTCTTTCTATGAAAGAAACTGGAGCCTCCTAAGGTAAGCTGGGTCTGGATGCTTGATGAAGATGACACTGCTGACAGCTCTTCCTCTTTCTGTGCAGAATGTGCCCCCAGACCTCTCCATCTGCACCTTTGTGCTGGAGCAGTCCCTCTCTGTCCGGGCCCTGCAGGAGATGCTGGCTAACACCGTGGAGAAATCAGAAGGGGCAAGTACCCAATTTATGTAGACTTGTAGTATTTTAATGAGCTCAGCTACTGTATGAACAATTTCTTTCACAGGTGTCAGAGAGTTTCTTTTTGCTGAAATAAGTCGATGCCTGTCAGTTGGAATTTCCTTAGGATTGACTTTCTGCTTTATCCAGCATATTTGTGGTGTCTTGAAAACTTAAAAAAAAAAAAAAAAATCCAAGCTTGATGTGATCTGTGTCACTAGACCTCGTGCTTATGTCTGTGGTTTAAAACCAACCTTTCTTTGAGCATTTCTATGTTTTCTTGCATTTTCGGAGCTGTTATTGTTATTATTTTAACTCATCGCTTTATGCATGGCTATTTGTCATTAACCTTTATTTCATTTTCAAATGTCTCTCACTATGTGACTATGTTCTGAGCTTTTTCATGGAAAGTAAAATTTCATGGCACTGTTATATATTTTAAGTAACCAAATTTTGGTGATATGGCTTTAGTCTATTGTAATTTTAAAAACAGCTAATCCTTTTCCTCTGAAAATTGATTTTTTTTTTCTTTTCTGAGATGGAGTCTTGCTCTCTTGCCCAGGCTGGAGTGCAGTGGTGCAATCTTGGCTCACTGCAAGCTCTGCCTCCTGAGTTCATGCCATTCTCCTGCCTCAGCCTCCTGAGTAGCTGGGACTACAGGCGCCGCCACCACACCCAGCTAATTTTTTGTATTTTTAGTAGAGACAGGGTTTCACCGTGTTAGCCAGGATGGTCTTGATCTCCTGACCTCGTGATCCACCTACCTCGGCCTCCCAAAGTGCTGGGATTACAGGTGTGAGCCACCGCGCCCGGCCCTGAAATTGTTATGTGGTTTCCTAATGCAAGTATTTTTCTTTCAAAGCCTATTTGGTTATTTTATTTTCAATGAGACTTGCTGTGACGAATATCTGGGCTGTTACCCAGTCTTGACCAATTTATTACAGTTTAGAATTAAGCAGGAGGATTAATGGTCAAATTTTTGTTTCCAGGTTTTTTTAATTTTTATTTTTTGGTATTGTAATTACTGCAGTGCATGGTTTAATAAAGTATAGTATTTCCAGAGATAAAACTGAAAATTTTATTTTGCCATTATTGATCTATATGTTGCTGTTGTTAATCATTACTCTGGTCTGGATGAGTAAAAAGATTAAAAAATGGTAATACATAAATGATTATCCATAGAAATGAGTCATCAGTTATAACATTATTTTCATCAACCTTGTAGTTTTTAAAATTTTAGTGTCATGCAGCTTAGGACTTTACTTGATTTGTGCATTAATTCTAAATTAAATTTTAGCAGTATACTATTATGTGGGGAAGAGAAACTTTAGTGATTTTTATTTGGAATTAGACTAAAAGCTTATTTTACAAAAGCTTGGTATTTTAGTTTTTCGGGTTCAATTTTTGCTTATAGCAAAGTTTGAAATTATTAAAATATATAAAGTTTCTTTTAAAAATTTTTATTCTTTCATGTAAACCTTTTCAGGTACACTTAAATTATGAAAGAAAACAATTCTCAATTTAGTTTCATTTCTACCTGAAATAACCCCTCCTGATTTTTAAACATCCCTGAGTCATATCAACTTTGATATGCAAATGAGCCTTTATAAAGAAAGATCGTTTTTATTTGGCATTAGCATTTAGAAAAATGCATCTTGCCATTTCATCTGTCTTTATAGATAACAACTTAGAACTAACATGCTATAAATTTAATTTTTATATTGCTAAGTTGTGTTTTTTAAATTTAACAACTTTGAGAAGATCTTTTGTCTTCTTCAAATCATGACTTTGGGCTAGGCAAACTCTAAAGTTTCTTGGAATAGAGGAAGTAATTTGAAATACTGTTTTAGGATTTATGGTTTTTCTTGAGATGGGGTCTTGCTGTATTGCCCAGGTTGGTCTTGAGCTCCTGAGCTCAAGCAATCCTCCTGCCTCAGTCTCTGGAATATCTAGGATTACAGGTGCATCCCACTGTACCCAGCTTCTAGGATTTATGTTTTCAAGACATTTATTAGTTAGAATTTCTGGATCTCTTCACATATTTTTATTTAGCTGAATTTAGTTTTGAATTGTTCACTCTCTAGAATGTCTCTATCACAGATAAAGTAGTAATTTGTGTGATGTGTTGAACACTATTTTATAAAGCACAGTATAGTTACC